GCACTGTTTTGCATTTCTACCCACAGTGTGCAAATGTTCCCATATCTCCAAAACGTCAACATTTGTCTTTTATTTTTTTTTTTTGGTAAGAGCCATCTTGATGGTATAAGGTAATATCTTGTTGTGGTTTTGATTGGCATTTCCCTGACGATTAGTGATATTTGACACTTTCCTATATACCCGTTGGCCATTTGTAGGTCGTCTTGGAAGAAACATTTATTCAAGTCCTTAGCCTGTTTCTTAATCAGGTTACTAGTTTTTTTTGTTTGTTTGTTTGTTTTACCATTGAGTTGTGTAAGTAAAAAGGAAATAACCCCTTATCGGACATGTGGTTTGCAAATATTCCCTCCCATTTGTGGGTCAACGTTTCATTTTATTGTTTCCCTTGCAGAAGCTTTTCGGGTTGATGTAGTCCCACTTGTTGACTTTATTTGTTGCCTGTGTTTTGGTGTCACATCCAGGAAACCAACCACTGCCAAGACCGATGTCATGAAACTTTGCCCTGCGTTTTATTCTAGGACTTCTACAGTTTCATCTCTTACATTTAAATCTTTAATCTATTTTTGAGTTGATTTTTGTGTACGGTGTAAGATAAGGGTCCAGTTTCATGCTTTTGCACGTGGACATCCAGTCATCCCAACACCATCTTAGTTCATCTGCATCTTCAGCCCGATAAGGCTGTCATACTCATTTATTTTCACCGCTCGCTCCCCTTCCCGGCGGTCATGGTTCCTGCTGTGGTGCCAGACTCCCGGGTGGGTTTCCTTCCGCCTGGAAAACTGCTTTCGGTGCAGCTCTGCCGGCGTTGCAATCTGTTTTTGTTCTTCTGAAATATTTTATTTCACTCTCCGTTGGGAAGATAATTTGCTAAGTATCGAATTCTAGGTCGGCCTTTTTGTTTCTCTTTCGGCATTTAAGGTCATTCCGTGTCTTTTGGCTTTCATCATTCTACAGAAAAGGGCTACGTCTCTACTTTTATCAGAGGCTTTTAGATTTTCTCGCTGGGCTCAGGCTGCATTACGACGACGCTGTGGTCCTCTTCATCCTCCTTGGCATTTGAAAGAGTTTGAGTCTCTAGCTTAGCATCTTTGGTTAGTTCTGGAAACTTCTGTGTCTCTCCTAGCCCATTCTTCCTTTCCTTCCTGGGACTCCAAATACAGGTATGTTAGATTTTTACGGTATGCTGCATTTCTCTTACATGATTTTGTCATATTTTCCACCCTTTTCTTCATACTTATCTGAATGTTTTCTACAAACCTATCATAAATTCATATATCTTATATTGGGCTTTGTCCAATGTTTTCAAATTCATTTACTGGGTTAATTTCAATGATTTCGGTTTTAGAATTTCCATTTGAATTTTTTTGGCTAATAGATTTCTGTTCTTTGGTAAAATCTCTGATTGATCGTCCACTGCCTTGACTACAATAGTCACATTTGAAAGTCCAGCTGCGGGACCGAGTCCTTTATCAGGACACACGGGTGACTTTTCTCCTGGTAGTCCATGGCCCGTTCATTTTGAAAAGCAGAAAAATTTTACTTTGATGGAAACTCAATTTCTTTTGTGATTTGCATTATGTCCTACGAAACCTCTGCCCATCCCGAAGCTGAGACATACTTTCGTTTTCTTCTAGAAGCTTAAGTGCTTACACCTGAGCTGCGACTCTTTTGGGTTTTCATCTGTGGTGTGTGGTCGGCGTCAAAGTTCATTTCTTTCCATACAAACAACCCAGTTGTTGGATAGACGTTCCTTTCCCAGCTGATCATGTGCCCGTGGGTCTATTTCTTGATTCTGTTCCATTTCATTGACTCAGGGTTGGCAAACTTTTTCTGTAAAGGGCCAGAGTGTAACTTGTTGGGTTTGCAGGCCACAGGGTCTCTGACGCAACTACTGAACTTTGCCAATGTGCCATGAAAGCAGCCAGCTGGGGGCGGGAACAACAGCGAGTGGGAGCGGTCCCACGGGACGCTCCGGTCTCTACTGGTGCCTGTTAAGCATCTCAAATTTAATTCCCATGTGCGCACTGGTCTGTTTCAGTTTTGTACACTGCCCATCGGTCTTTTTCCATTGCTATGGCAACACTTTCATGGTCCTACTGGCATCGAAGGTCGTATACATCTAATCTCCACTCCGAAATCAAACTGTCAACATCCTAAGAAAGAAACACCGGAAGATTTGATGGTGGATGTGCTGTAATAACAGCTAATACTGAGCGTTTATAGTCAAGCTTTGTTGTTAGATATTAAACGTGTTACACTTAATCTTCACGATGTCACTCGCTAGCTGGGCACCCTGGGATGAAACTGCTTAACCTCTGTGGCCCTCTCCTGTGTGTAAAGTGAGGACGGTTCTCTCGTAAAACTGCCGTGACGTTAGTACACGCAGAGCACTTAGAACAGCGCCTGGCACATAGTAGGAACTCCATTTTACGTTAACGAGTAGAGAATTATACAGGAAAACAGAACAACCCAAATGCCTCGCATGCGACAGTGTGAAGTACTGTTGGCTGCCTTTGTAACCCGCCTGGGTTAACTCCCAAGGCAGCACGGTGCCACGTGTCTATGGGGTGAGCGCTGCGTGACTGGCGTGGGTGGCGAGGGCAGAGGGGGCTGCGAGGCAGCACGGGGACGCAGAGGCGACGGAATGAAGAGGTGAACGCAGGCTCCGAACGAGTCGGCAACGCAGCCCTTCGCTGTCGCTGCGGTGCAGCGCGGCCACGGACAGCTGCAAGCTGACGGGCACAGCCACTGCTACACCACAACCGCGCGCATGCAGGCGACGGGCCACTGGCCGGGGACGGAGCCCACCCTGGCGCAGCGATGGGAGGAGGTCCCACTGGCCAGCGCGAAGGCGCCCGAGTTCGCGGGAGCTGCCGGTTTTAATGGAAGCTCAGGCTCATGCCAGGGCTCAGAAAGGCGAGCGGGCGACGTCACGGGGCTGCGTGAGCAGAGCGAACCGCTGGCGGCCACGAACCGCTTGGTGCAGGGCAGGAACCAGGCCGCATTCTTCAGGTCTGCGAACTTGTCTGTCATTTTCCCAACAACACGTGGCTGACGGGGAGGCGGGCCGGGAGCGCGAGCCTCTGGCTGCGGCGCCCAGGTGTGCGGAGCCCAGGTGTGCCGAGCGCGTGCCCAGCCTCCGCGGAGGGGCCTGCTGACTGGCTTTAACCAGCCGGGGACGCTTGTTCATGCAGATTGCAGGGGAATGAAAAACGAGCAGTTGTGTCGCATCGCATTCTAAACGTCACTGGAACAGCCGACCTCAGCACCAAAAAACACAGGCTGGGGAGGGGCCACCCGCGGAGATAAGCCAGAGGACCAGACACACCCAGCTCTGAAGACACCCAGCGCTCATGGCCCCTCCCCTGCCACCCCACATGCCACACCCGTTGCCCTAGGGGCGTGGGGTCTGCCTCGCAGCGAAAGGACGCCCCGACCCATCACAAGGCAACGGAACAGCAGTTCGCTCAGCGTGGCCCCCACACCGTCTGGTTAGTAAAGCCCAAGCAAGGCACGAGAGAGAATTTCTAGAAACAAAGAATCAGGCTTTATTTTTGTTGTTATTTTTAATACAGTGTCGTATCGTAGACATGTTAGTCTTGCAATTCAGTATGGCCGATACGCAGAAACGCAAGTAGGAAGGAAGGAGAGAGTGCGCACTCCTGGCCTCGGGCGGGCACCCTCCAACCCCCGACGGGCCTCGTTCTTCCCGTCCTCATGTCCTTTCCCTGCCACATGAGAAACAAATCAAACACGACCCCAAAGAAAAGGCCCGGATGCTCTTGCATCAGCAGAAGCTGGAGTGAAGCAAGACACTGCGTTACCTTGGGTGGGATGGAGAAGCTGACCAGACGCGCACACGGAGGCGGCGTGTGCCACCCCTGGCAAAGCTCCCCACCAAGTGAGGGGAGACCACAGCGCGTCGTCCTCCAGCAGTCCCCGGGGTCCTGTGCCACAGGACGTCGGCATCCTTGAGACATGCGAAAGGAGCCCTATCCCCTGGCAGCGCCAGGTTGGAGGGGACGCACGAGACGGTGTCCTCGAGGGGGCGCCCACACACAGAAGGGCTTCCTGAGGCGGCTGGACGGCAGGGCAGGGCCCCCTGCCGGCTGTCCCAGGCGCACTGCCGACTGCCGTCCGTGAGTGCCCAGGTGCCTCCGTCAAGCTCGGAGTTTCCACACCATTTACAATGGAAAAGTAAATCAGAAATAAGGCATTAGACATTTGATTTTTTATTTCCATACGCAATGTAACGTTTAGGCACGCTGCTTGGGATGCTATTTCTAAAAAAATCGTTGGCCTTTTTTCAGAATATCCTTTTGGTTTTAAATACTGGTCAGGAAAAACAAATGATGTAAAAATACGTGAATAATTTTCTATTACAGAAATGAAAAACTGATTTGCATCTAAAAGTGCAAGAGGTGAAGTAATTTAACCCTTTCACCAGACGATATGGCAATATACAATATATTGCTTCAGCTGTTTGAGAAGGCTGTAATGTATTTTTATATTGATATAGAAAATTATAAATTACATTGACTTAGTATCCATAATCACTATATATATATATACACACACGATGTATTTTTATATTGACATAGAAAATTATAAATTACATTGAATTAGTATCCATAATCACTATATATATACACAAACCAGTTCTAAAAAAAATAGACCGGTTTAGAATTTACGAGTGAAAACCTCACAAGGTACGGAAAAACAATTAACATGCTTAGGTGCCAGATTCTGATTTCTAGTTTAAAAATACTAGCCTGTAAAATGAACGCACTCTAATCCCATTAGCGCACGAGCATTTTTCAACAGACTTGCCTAATGGGATTCGGGTACGTTAAATATGCAGATGGCTCTGAAATGTTCATTGGTGACGCTTGTTAACGAGATAAATTTTGGTGAATGGGTTAATGGCAGATGAACTACCAAAACGAAACAGAAAACAAAAACGAAAAACAAAAAACCCAAACCACAAGCCATAAGCCATGTACACTCCAAATAGTCTAGTGTTTCACCTGTAAGGATAATCTTTTCGAGCAAACAAGACCTTAACAGAACATATGGCTTTACGATAACATCAATTTATCAACTAAGTTGTAGCAATAAATACTTAATCTCTACCAATAGACTTACATTTTTTGATCCGTTTTAAACAATACAGAAAACAGTTACCAATCAAAAACTGGTTATAAAAAGAACACCAAATAGTTCTTATTCAAAATCATTTTTGTAAGTTAGAACAACCAAAATAACACTTCGAGGGCATTTCAATCCTACAACTCCTTGCCGACCTGGAAGAAAAATGAATTCAGAATTTTGTACACGGTGAAAAATGTATGAAAACTGCCTAATACTTTGGTCACACTAATAATTGTCAAATAGTTATGTTTCAAATACAATAGATCTGTGTATTCACTTTTATAAAACTATTCTTACAGCCATTTTAACTATTATTACTACTATTATTACATGGGTGGCAAGATCTTATTTCACAGGCTACCCATTATTTAGAACAATACAATATAAACATACGCAAAAATTCTTGGTATTTGTCATGTGCAATATTTGTACACTTCTGGATTTCTCTGTACAACGTCTGAGCGTCTCGAGTATAAAGGGTGCTGGTCCTGATCCCGTGCGGAGTGAGTGCAGCAGTGACGGCGGCGGCTCCCGCGGAAGCCCCCAGAGCCCCGGATGGCGGCCTGCGTCCTCAGTCAGCAGCAGCAGGTCGCTCATCATACAGGGCCGTTGACGGACGCGTCGCCCGGCACGCCCGGCTGGTCAGCCCTACGGAGTGAGAGACAGCCACCTGAGGCACTTCAGCAGACACGTGAGACAAAATGAACTTCATTCGGCTTCCCCGAGGGTGGGGACCGTTTGTGTGAACACTGTTTATGCGATGCCTAGCACTAAGCCTGGCACTTGGTGGTTAACCAAACGCTTCATGAATGAATTTATCTGACGCTCAGGAGACCTAACTGGAGCGCGTCTAAGCTTCACCTTGAGCTCGGAGCACCAGGCGGGCCTGCAGCAGGGCAGAGCACCCCCGCTCCCCAGCTTCTGAGAAGCGCAGTCTGGTCGGTCTAAGCTGCCACCAGGCGCCCTCAGGAGCTGCTGGCGCACCCCTCCTCCAACACAGCCTCCACCTGTCCCTTGGATCGGAATCAGGATGCTGCGCCCGACATGGGAGAAAGGAAGTCGAAGAAACGTTGGTGGGACCGGCCGCTGAGAGCAGAGGTGGGCGCTGTGACGAACGAGTGCCCGCAAACCAAGCGTGAGGTTTGCAGTGTGGGGGGGGGGGAACAGGCAGGACACTGAATGAACACGGTGGTGATGTGTAAAGTCTGCCTTCCTGCCACAATTACAGCCTGAACACACACGACTCTCTTGATGGCGTTACCAGAGTCTTATAAAGGCGACTTGGGAGGGAAGCTGAGAGGCGCATCGGGGAAGCAGCACACGAGTACTTTGAACTGCATCAAAATCTACAAACCTGACGCCTCAGGCACCTGCTCACTGTGACAAAGGACCAAGAAGGCAGCTCCACGCACTCCACGCTCTCCTTACATCTGACGATGTCTCAGTGAGTCACAGACAACGGAACCGAGAGTTCTGGAACCAGACGCAACTGCCCTCACCACTTAGTGTGATCTTAGGTGTTTCTTAGCCTCTGTCACTTTGGTTCCCTCCCCCTGTAAGGGGGACAATAACCCCCGCGGGGCGCGGGAGCATGCAAGGTGCAGAGCGCTGCGCACGCTGCTGGCAGATAGCCGGTGTGCCCCATGATGGCAGTGAGGACGACCAGCGCGCGTCTGATGACCTGAAGGGTCACGGCCTTCAGTCGGGACGGGAACCTCGCGGGGAAGACTTCACACGAAGTCTCAGGTGGCTCTTTACCTCAACACTGCCATAGAGTGCTTTAAAGAACACAGATGTGACACTTCAGAAAACTGACCTATCCCTGCTATGACAACAGCTGCAATGTCCCCTGCTCAGAGGCCTTTTCCCGCCGCCCTATCTAAAACGAGACGTCTGTCCCTTACCCAGCTTTCTTCACCCCCTACCAGCGCCCCTTTCTACGCGCCCCATACTGTCTGTGGGTCTGTCGCTCCCGCTTTCTCATCGGGCCCAGACCCGTGGCGCCACCTCCCACGGGCTTGCCCCAAGACCCCCTCCGCCGTCCCCATCTGCAGAGGGGCGGGCGGGGCTCTTCACACGGCTGTCCCGAGGCAAGAGAAGAGCAAGCGGGTCCCCCGAGGCCAACAGCTCTGCACCCCAGAGAGCCAAGGGGACAACCCCACAGTGCCCTGTGCCACTCTCGCCGGGAATCAAGACCCGACTCCTAAAGCAACCGCTGTGACCGGGGCAGACAGGGAGGGCCCTGCCCTCCAGGCAGTTCTCACCATACAGGACTTATGGGGGAGCCCTGGGGGGCGGGGCACACTGACTAGGACTCAGACCCACAAAGGACCTTTCCACTCACACGCACTGAAAACCCCAGGCAGAAGTGACTCGCCCAAACCCTCAGAAGCACAGCTGGGACTAGAGTGTCACCCTGCCTCTTCCTCCCAAAGCCTTCACTAGAGCCAACATACTCAAACAGTTAAAACCTTATATATATTTTTTAAATCACAAAAGCAAACCCCTCACACAGGCTGTAATTACCATGAGAACAGGGGCAGAGTTGGTGCCGATGACCAGTGAACAGAGTGCCCCCTGCTGGTCCCTCCGGACAGTGAGGGGAAGAGCTCTCTGGGGGAGTGTCTTGTGAACTGGCCATGAGGGTGACTGTGTCCCTCAGGGAAAGAATACAGGCCGACAGTTACTGGGAAGGCTAACTCTGGGGGGGAGGCCAGGCCAAGGGCACATCCTGACCTCTTGCGCGGGCTCCGAGCATCCGAGGCCGCCCTCGCTCCCCCCGAAGGGCCTTGGCCCGGCCTCAGCAGAGGACAGCTGGAGAGAAAGCACCAGGTTCCACACCCCGTGGCTCTGGTGGTGGGGTTTTCACACTTGAAATAAATATTTTGCAAAAACTAAACCGAACAGAATCATAGCACATCATCAAAACAAGGGGGTGGGGACAACACCAACAGGACGCCCCTCCATGCCAGACACTTCTCACAGGGCCAGGGATGCTACTGCCTCTCCAGAACCCGGCCAGCTTCCGGGTGAGGCGTCAGCTGCTCTAAGTTCTCGGCTTGGTCACCCTGACTCCGAGGACTGAGACTTACTGTGCTCAGCGAGTCACGGAGTGCCCGAGGACAACTGCGACCCCTTCTGCCTCCGCCCCACCCACCCACACCCGGAGACAGCGGCAGCGCTGGGCCAGGCCGGGCTGGACCCGAGGCGGCGGGCCTTACCTCTGCTCTGGACTACTGCTGGGGGGCCGGGGAGCCGCAGACTTCGCCTCGGCCGTCTCGGGGCTCTCCCCCACGTCTTTACAGGCATCTTGAGAGGTAGACAGTTTTCCTTCCTCGCTGCGGTAAAGAGGGTGACAGGCAGCATTAGAGCCCGGGGGAGCGGCGCGGTGGAGGGCGAGGCGCATGCAGATGGCTCTGGAGTCATGACTGCCGTGGGTCAAAGCCCTGGGGCCAGCATGCTGAGGTGAGGGGCACAGGGGCCACGGACAGTGACGGGGATCACAGAAGGAGAGGGTCACGCACAGCGGGCACTGGAAGGGCGGTGTGATGCAGCTGGAGTCTGGGGAAGCACGGTCCCACGCGACTGTACATACCGATAGGATTTCAACACTCTGAAGCCAAGTGTGCAAAACAGAAAAAGAAATGTACAAGAGTTTCAGAATACTCCTATAAATGAGGGATTTGGGGAATAACATGTCCACGACCGCACGTAAGCAAATCTGCAGACTCGGTGAAGGTGTCAAATGAACCTGTTTGAAGGAATGGGTCTTCAGTTAAAGCACTGCGCTCAGGGCTGAGCCCGCCCTTCAAACAGCCGGCAGGACAACCCCCCGCCAGCTTGCTGGTGGGTGAGCTGGGGTCACGTGAGTAGGTGATGCGTGGCTGAACCAGGACTGGATTTCTCGAGTTGCCCTCCGACTATGCCTGGGAAGTACACACTCTGGGAGGGAAGGGGACCAAGAACAGCGGCCAGGACAGGAAACTGGCCCTCGGGAGCTGGAGGGGACGGGAACAGGTACTCCCTCCACACGGCTCCTGGTGGAGAAAGCACACGCTTGTGGGCTGGAATTTCAGACTCTTCCCTATTCTGCCTGAGTTCTGTTTTGACACAGTCAAGATGGCACACACGTGAGCTAAAGGGCAGCTGGAGGCCCCTCTGGGAAGGCCCAGCATTCTTAGAGCTGAGTCCTATCTTGGGTCTGCTTAGGAAAAACCTAATTTTAGGGTAACTTCTCAGGTGGCTTTCAGATGGGTCCGGGAAACATGTAAGGAAGAAAATGAACTAGAGATCTGGGGACACTCGGGGGGCCCTGGTTCATCACTCCCCTTCACTCTCCCCACCTGAGCAACCACCCTGAGGTGTTCTGTACATATTACCTTCATTCCTGTCAGACGGAGTCATTGCGTGTGTGTATTCTGAGTCCCATAACTGGCCCTGGATGGCATACCTCTCTGTACCTGTCCTGTAGTGAGCATGGCTGGGAGGGCAGGCAGGCCGGCCCCGCTGACTCGCCGCCCCAGGGTGAGCACCCCAGTTCTGCCTGGCTTGTCACAGCAACCAGCCCAGAACACCCTCCCCCTCCACGGGCAGCACGATGCTGCAGGGCGGGTGGGGGTGGGGGCTGCCTGGCGGTTCTCCCTTCTAGGGACGCTGCTCCCAGCTGGAAGTCTTCCCACCTACAAGGAGACCCCAAGTGCATTCCCCACCTGCAGGTGACAGACAGGGCTGTCCTGCCCACACTCAGCTTGACCGCCCCCCCCTCCTACTCTCAGGAGAGAAGGCTGACGAGTGTTTTGAGCATCTTATTACTTTAGCCTTTCTGGATCTCCTTGTCTGTAAACTGCTATCTTTTGCCCATTTCCTGAGTTGGATTTTCTATCTTTTCCTTATTGGTTTACAAGAACTAAATATTAAATGTTTGTTCATTTAGAAACTGTAATCTTTTCCCCCTTGATTTACCATCGGCCTCCTTACCAACAAGAAATTCCTAACTTTGATGCGATCGGTTCCATCCTCCGCATTACGGTTTACGCTTTTGAAGGTTTTCTTGTTCAGTTTTTAAAAAGAAAGTCCTTTTCTGGCCCCAGATCAGAAAGATGCACTACATTTTCTTAAGCGGTGAGACTCTGGTCCCATCGCTTAACTCTGGAAGTCTCGTGTTCTTCATCTGCAAAGTGGCGCGGTAACCACAGTACGTGTGGTCCAGGGTGAGCGAGAGGCGTGAATGCATCACCATGCGGGAACCGGGCCAGGAACGGGCCGGGAACTGGACTGAGAACCCGGCACGCGGGAGGCACGGCCCGCATGCTAGAGCCGTACACATTACGTTGTCGCCCCGCCCGGACTGCCTTCGAATGTCAGTCGGGGGCTCCGGCTTCACCGGTGCCCTGTGGGGAGCCCGGCTCCCTGCACCGCCAGCCACTGAGCCGCCCCCATCGTTACTGCGCTCTCTCCCGTCGCACTGGTCCCCTTGTCTACTTGTGCGCTGACGTCACGCTGGTATAATTAGTGTGATTCTGCAGCATGACTGAACGTCTGCCAGGGCAAGTCTCTTATTTAATCTTCCTTATGGTTTTCTAAGTGATTTGGGAACTTTATTATTCTACGTAAGTTTTAGAGTATGTTTAACATTGAGAAAAATCCAGCTGAAATTTTGACTCAACTTAATTTGGTGATGGTGACATCTCTGATGCGGGGATGGGCTGCCCCTTGTCCAGGCTGCTTTCACTGGCGCTTTCAAGTTTTCTCTGTAGGTGTCTGGGTCAAGATAATGCCTAAATATTTTCTAGTTTAATGTATTTTGTGACTGGTACGTCACCTTGTATTATGCGTCCTAGTTGCTCAGTTTTAAGAGTGATTTTTTACCCAGCGGTGTTGCTGAACTTTTATTAGATAATAACTGGTCATTATTATGTGCAAAGCAGTAGCTTTACCACACTGCGTCTAATCTTTGCCTTTCCTGACACCGCCCAGGACCGCCGGCAGCGGCGGGTAGACAGCCAGCCTCGCTCGTTCCTCTGAGCGAACTTCCCCACTAACTGGAATTTCCGCTGTACTCTGTACTTAACTTTTACCAAGATGAGGGATTCACTTCTGCTACTGCTCTGCTCTGAGTTTTAACCACACGCAGGTACCAAAAGCTTCATGAAAAATATCGAACAACTTTCATTCAGTCTATTAACATATGGTGAATTACACCGAGATTTTTCAGGTGCTGAACCATCTCTCCACTCCAGGGATAAAATCTAGCTGACCGTTAAGAATTATTTTTGGTTTGCTAACTGCTGGATCCAGTTAGCAAAGACTTGATAGTGTTTTTGCACTTAGTCTGCCTGTGACCCAAGCTGGTCATTCCCTGTAATTACCCTTATCTAGTTTTGGAATTAAGACTTCACAGCCTCATAAAAAGATCTCAGCAGTTTTTGCACTTTTTCTATTTCCTGTAACGACTTAAGACAGAAGCTGGCAGACTGCTGTGCACGGGAGGGCACCACGTCACCGCTGCATCTGACCCGCGCCTGCGAGGCCGACCCGCGAGGCTGACCGCACTGGGGCGGCCGTGTTCCGTTTTCCTCCACAGGCAACGGTTGGTTTGGATCCTTTGTCCATTTAAAATAAAAATCATTAATAGATTGTCTCTTTCTTATCAATATTAGGCTCTTCCTCTATCCTACTACCAAATCTTTCTTAGTTGGCTATGGCTTGTCTTTTCATTTTATCGTATGTTTTGGAATGTTAGAAATTAAATAAAATCAAATTTATCAATCTTTTCTATTATGGTTTGGTTTTTTTTACAAAAAATCCTTTACCCCCAAATTCTAAAGACACTCTCTTACGCTGTCTTCTGAAAGCTGTAGTTCTGCCTTGCCTTTCATATTTACGCTAAGACAGAGATTTAATTTTATTTTTCTCCAAAAAGGACAATCACTATTTATTAGTTCATTCTTTCTTCGCCGAACTGTGACGTCATTCATTCTCACATGTGTCAAGTTCACGTCAGGGTAGAGCGTCTGTTTATACATAACCATGCCAACGCCACGTCATCTCAATAATCGCTTTAATAAGGACTCCTGAGACCTAACCTGGCGAAGCCAACCCCCCACCCCTTTATTCTTCAAAATGATCTTGGCTATTCTTGGCTCTCTTTGGTCTTCTTATGAATATCACCATCAGCTTCTCCACTTCCATGAAAAATTCCACTGGGATTTTGATAAGAAATACAGTCATTTTATAATTTTCTAAGAAATGCCAGAGATACCTTCTCATTAACAAACACAGCACATCTCCCTGCTTATTAGGTCTTCATTGTACCGTTCCATCTTAGTTATCTTAACGACAAGGTAAAAGAGGGGGGACATCCCAGTGGTTCTACTACCTGTCTGAGAGACTCAATCAGAATTCTTTATGTAGAAAATCATAATCTACAAACAATGATCATTTGATTTTTCAGATCTTTATACCTTTTACTTGTTTTTATTTTATGCTGTGTTTGCCAAGACCAGCAGCACAGTGCTCAAGGGAGCGAGGGTGGCTCTTGCTGTCCAACACGCCCCTGAGGGGCGGCTTCTAATGTCATTCAGTCTATTAACATATGGTGAATTACACCGAGATTTTTCAGGTGCTGAACCATCTCTCCACTCCAGGGATAAAATCTAGCTGACCGTTAAGAATTATTTTTGGTTTGCTAACTGCTGGATCCAGTTAGCAAAGACTTGATAGTGTTTTTGCACTTAGTCTGCCTGTGACCCAAGCTGGTCATTCCCTGTAATTACCCTTATCTAGTTTTGGAATTAAGACTTCACAGCCTCATAAAAAGATCTCAGCAGTTTTTGCACTTTTTCTATTTCCTGTAACGACTTAAGACAGAAGCTGGCAGACTGCTGTGCACGGGAGGGCACCACGTCACCGCTGCATCTGACCCGCGCCTGTGAGGCCGACCCGCGAGGCTGACCGCACTGGGGCGGCCGTGTTCCGTTTTCCTCCACAGGCAACGGTTGGTTTGGATCCTTTGTCCATTTAAAATAAAAATCATTAATAGATTGTCTCTTTCTTATCAATATTAGGCTCTTCCTCTATCCTACTACCAAATCTTTCTTAGTTGGCTATGGCTTGTCTTTTCATTTTATCGTATGTTTTGGAATGTTAGAAATTAAATAAAATCAAATTTATCAATCTTTTCTATTATGGTTTGGTTTTTTTTACAAAAAATCCTTTACCCCCAAATTCTAAAGACACTCTCTTACGCTGTCTTCTGAAAGCTGTAGTTCTGCCTTGCCTTTCATATTTACGCTAAGACAGAGATTTAATTTTATTTTTCTCCAAAAAGGACAATCACTATTTATTAGTTCATTCTTTCTTCGCCGAACTGTGACGTCATTCATTCTCACATGTGTCAAGTTCACGTCAGGGTAGAGCGTCTGTTTATACATAACCATGCCAACGCCACGTCATCTCAATAATCGCTTTAATAAGGACTCCTGAGACCTAACCTGGCGAAGCCAACCCCCCACCCCTTTATTCTTCAAAATGATCTTGGCTATTCTTGGCTCTCTTTGGTCTTCTTATGAATATCACCATCAGCTTCTCCACTTCCATGAAAAATTCCACTGGGATTTTGATAAGAAATACAGTCATTTTATAATTTTCTAAGAAATGCCAGAGATACCTTCTCATTAACAAACACAGCACATCTCCCTGCTTATTAGGTCTTCATTGTACCGTTCCATCTTAGTTATCTTAACGACAAGGTAAAAAAGGGGGGACATCCCAGTGGTTCTACTACCTGTCTAAGAGACTCAATCAGAATTCTTTATGTAGAAAATCATAATCTACAAACAATGATCATTTGATTTTTCAGATCTTTATACCTTTTACTTGTTTTTATTTTATGCTGTGTTTGCCAAGACCAGCAGCACAGTGCTCAAGGGAGCGAGGGTGGCTCTTGCTGTCCAACACGCCCCTGAGGGGCGGCTTCTAATGTTCCCGGCTAAGGGTCCAGTGTGCTCTAGCTCCTCAGCAGACACTTGCCTGTCCCAGGATGCCACTCTCTATTCCTCGGCTGTGAAAAACTCACTACTGGCTTCCATTTTCATCAGATGCTTTCCTCTATCTACTAAAGGTCTAAATGGTTTCCATCCTTTTATCTATCTGTGAATTACCTTCCGTGATCTTTACGATGTCACAACAGCCTCACATTTATGTGATACATCACTGGTCACGACTTAAGCACACACCGCTGGATTTGGTTTGCCAGCTTGTAATGCCAGCGTTTCGTGTGTCATGCCGCACGTGGAATCAGCCTGCCGCTGCTTCCCGCCTCCCGCCGCCTGTGTCTTGCAGAAAACTCACGGTGAGGCGGGAAGCATCTACTTGGGAGCTGAAAAGGTTACTTTAAAAAAAAAAAAAAATCTATCATTTTGCTACTGAATTCTAACGACTGCATTAGGTCTGGAGAAAATGACCTGTATGATAGTGATTTTGATGGGCTGAGCCTTGTAGCCTGTATACAAGTCAATATCTACCACGACTGAAGACTAAAGATTTGTCAAGTTTTTACACTCATGTATTTTGAATGTGCTAGACTTAAACTATAGTCTTCTGGAGAGAGGGAGCGGGGGAGAGGAAGACAAGGATAGAGAGAGAGGGGAGGAAGAGGGGGAGGAAGGGGGGAGAGAAAGAAAGAGACCAGACACATGGTAGAGATTGACTTCAAGGCAGATGTGATTTTTCAAGAGTACAGTACACGGAAAAAATGGTCTGTATAACATGGGAGACTCCAAAGCAGTAGAGAGAAAGGGTAGGAGACAGAAAGAGACAGACAGACAGACACACACACACATTTTGGAACCAAAACTCTCCATCATCTCTTAAGATTTAACAGATACTAGAAAGATGTCAGGCTGACGTCTGAACCGCGTGTGAATCAGGTTGAGATGCTGGTGTCTGAGGCCCCTCCCGTTATCCTCCCGGCGACCTGAAGCTGCCAGTGCGACGTGGCCCCCGGTTACCTTTTGAAGACCGCAGTTTCTGTCTTGGCATCTACAGTGAGGCTGAGAGTCTCCTTCATGCCGCCATTCATCACCGTCTCAGTTACCTTGTCTGTACTCTCTGCATCCTCCTCCCCGTCAGAGCTGGCTTCCATGGCCACGCTGCCTGGCACTGAAAAGTACACACAGCCAATGGTCACCCGTCCCACGACCAAATGAGAACTGTCACCCTCTTCTGTGCAGATCTGCCACCCAGCGGAAGAGCTCCCACGTGAAGAGCTGGTCCGCTGCGTCACCTGGGCCCATTCCTGGTGGGCGTGGGGCGTGGGCCTCTTAAGAGCGCCCGCCGGGGAGGCGTTCTGTGGGTTTTCTTCAGCACAGGAGCAGCGCATCGCCCACAGCCTTCCGAGCTCCGTGGCTGCCCACACCGCCCGCTCCCCACAGTACTCTCCAGTGTGTCACGGCCCAGGGCGGAGGCGGCGGCCACAAATTCTGGCCTCCCCCGCTTCGATCTGCGAGGACACGGCTCACGGTTGACCCGCTGCACTGTTCTCGTGCGTCCTTTTCCTTTCGGTTGTCCCCCTTGGGTCTATCTTGTTTTTTCAAGTTGCTTTATGTGGTTCCTTGTGGGTTATTTTTCTCCTATCATTGGGAGCCCCACAGTATGCTGGTCATCAGCTTGGGCTCTGAAGCCACACTTCCTGAATTCAAACCCTGGCCTCACCCCTTGCCGGCTCCTGCCTCTCTGCCTGCTGGGGCTAGATACCTAACCTGGGCTTGAGTTTCTTTACCCGCAAATGGGGTGGCTGACCCACCTGTCGAACTGTTGAGGGATAAAATGAGGTCATTTATATAAAACGGTGAATAGAATGACAAATAAAACCAGGACTAGTACTGGTTTCATTACTTCTCCCTGGCCCTTGGTTCTTGCGCCCTCTACGTGCACCCGCGTTTCTTTTGCTAAGGAATTCCTTCTTTGTGCCCCCCACATACCAACAACATACCTCATGTCTGCCCCCACCTCCCAGAGCCCTGGTCATCAGGCTGAAGGCAGTTCAAGGCCTATGCAAGGAACGATGTCCGTATTTTGAATAACGGGACAACCCACTAGACCCCCTGTGACAATTTTATCTGTTCATAAAAGTAAGAAGAAAATAAACAGCCCCACAGGCTGAAACACACCCGGACACATGTGTGTGCTCTAGCAAAGTAAATTCCAAAGGACAAAAGGACAGGGTGCAGGCGGCCTGGAACGCACGTGACTAACTCTGGCTCTGTTTACCCGGGGGACACTGACAGGACGGAACCCCAGGGAACTCAGGCTCTGACTCCTTCTAGGACCAGCACGCTGTGGTTCCGGGGTGAATACACAGCTTTTCTTCCCCAGCTGCCTGTGCATGTCAGACCCACCGCTCTTGGCTCCTCTGGGCCCCTGAGCCCGAGAGTCGTGAGTCGTGTCTGGTTTTACGCATCTGCTATGCACACCGAGATGGCTTTTCAGATCTAGAAAATTAAGCGTGAGTTAAAGCCTGAACGACAACGAAGTGACAGGCTGCAGGCCCCGCGTCTGGAACTCGCACCCACCTTCCGGCTGCACCGCCAGCGCAGCGACACTGGGGGGCAGAGGGGCCATCGGCTCCGCGCTGGTCTCCATGTCCACTGGAGAGCTACTCCTCAAGGAATCTTTTGTGCTTTTGGAAAAGAGAAAGTTCAGATGTCAGCAGTGGTTAACAGCCCTCGGTCTCTGTGACTTGCGAAAATGTGGTTCGGCCCAAGGGCGTGGGCAGTCGGATCCTGGTGTGGACGGGGAAAGCGGTCCGCGAACTCGGCGGGGCAGTAATGCAGGGAATTCTCAGAGGTTTCCAGACAAGTCCTGGGCAGCCCGGGCCTCAGCCTCACCATGTTCGCCAGGCTCCCAGGGCAGGAGAGCAGTGGCGGTCACAGTACAGTATCAACTGCACTGACTGCGTCGACTTATCTGGAACCAAACCGCCCGGAGGGCCTGGCTCTCTTCGAGATACTGAATAAGAAACCCGAGCTGTGCCCGAGGGGGAAAGGGAAGCCCGCTGCTTCAACACATTCTCCACTCATGAAAAGACAGAGAGCGAGAGGCAGTGATGTGACTGTCCGGTGCTGGAGCAGAGATGGGGAAATAATTCCTGACGCTGAGACGTTTTCCACAAACCTCACTTCTGCCTCTGAATAATGGCTCGCTAACTGCTCTCACCACAGTTGCTATAAAGCCATGTGGGTTTCACCGTGTTATCTGGGCTTCCGAGACGGTAACTGCTAGCTCTCCATCATTTACCCTCCTATCCTTTCCTGTGAACTGTTTAAAAACATCACTTGCTAGAACAGGTAGAGCAACAGTCTTTCAAACAGTATGGCTGAGGTTAATTTTTTCAGTACACAAAATGAAACGGTGTTCAGCAAATCAAACTAAGCCTAATGAGACATGAAATCCATGGTTAATACTCAAATGCTGACATTATTCAGGAAAATTCCAAAATGACAGGTTATTGTCAACTGAGAATAATACCTATAACGAGACTGACAGCATGTCTGCCACACCCCTTAATTCACGGCACTAGACGAGCTACAAGGGATGTAGGAGTCCACCATCTATCAAATTCGAGACACACGCGCTGTTCCAGGGTGCCCTGCACAGAGGTGCCTGCCAGTTCCTCAGCCGCCCCTTACTGTTACCCTCCCAGACAGCCCCGGGGGGCCAGAGAAGCCCTTGGAGATGCCCTCTGCACCGGCATCCTGCCAATCAACCTCCTGAGGCCACGTCTTCCCAGGTTGCTCTGTTTGGTCTGCCGCCGCTCAGCTCGCCCTGGACGCGAGGAGGGAGGGTGGTCATGACCGTGCAGCTGTGTCACTATGCCCCCGAGCTGAGTTTTCTATCTTGTTTAAGGCACTACATTGGATGGGAGTAAATCAGGGCGACAGTGTCGACGACAAGCACACACGGCCTGGCTCTCCCAGGGGGTCTGGAGAGCCGGCGCACGTGCTCACCTCAGGGAAGATGGGAACTCTGAGAACGAGGCCCAGCCTGTGTCTTTAGTTGGCATCGGCTCCTCTGTGCTCCAGACGTCAGACCCCACAGAGTCTAAGGGAGCACCGTGGGTCGTCTCCATGGGGACATCAAAGTTGGCTGACCAGTTGGGTGCTAGAAAGAGGGGAGGAATTTCATTTTGAGAACACTTTAATAGCTTAATGTGACACAAGGTATTTTTCAAAAAGAGGTTCACAGTGATAAAAAGATGGGAGTGGCGGAAAAGGGTGCCCGCACCACTGAAGGGACCGGCAGGGGCACCGTCGCTCAGAGGGCATTTGTCACAGCGACCCTGTTACAAAATCGCGTTTCCTCTGATCCCCTGGCACTCCTCACTTCTAAGATTTTTTCTAATAGAAAATCTCACAAGGATGTAAGGGTGTAAGATACGCTATTGTTGATTTCTTAGTTCTGACAAATGTACCAAGGTTATAGTAACACCAGGAGCAAGAGGAGCGAAGGAAGCCACTCCGTCTACCATCTTTGCAACTTTTCTGTAAATGTAAAATTATTCCAAAATAAAAAGTTTATCTTAAAAAAAGGATCTGTTGGCTTTCAACTGTTGGAAACAGTTGAAGCCATAATGCTTCCCAATCCACATCTGGCCCCACTTCATATTCTTAAAGCCCCCCACCCAGTTATTAGCACAAACAGCAGGAAGGCCTCCAGACCCAATAAGAAGTGCTTGTCTGGTCTCTGCTCACCACCCCCTGAAGCCCTAAGTTTCTTCTTGTATGGTGACAAGCGCTAAGAGCTGACTGGTGGGATGAGGGCTGTTAGCCAGGGGAAAGCGGGTTGGAACTTTCAGCCCCATTCCCACCTCTCCCCTCCCCCAACCCTTCAGGAGGCAGAGGGGCTGGAGGTTGAGCTCATCATAAATGGTCAGTGATTTAATCTATCACAGCTACTTAATGAGACCCCATTAAAAACCCCAGCTGTAGGGGTTCAGAGCTTCTGGGATGGTGAACAAGAGGGTGACGCATCACAAACTCCATGGGGACAGAAGCTCCCATGCTCGGAACTCTTCCAGACCTTGTCCTATTCGTTTGTATGCTTCAAAATATCCTTTGTAATAATTGGCAATAGTAAGTAATGCTCTTCTCTGAGTTGTGACCTGTATTAGGAAATAACTGAACCCAAACAGGCCACAGGACTCCCGCTTTATAGCCGGCTGCTTGCAAGCGCCAATGCCTGGCCTTCTGACCGCTGTCTGAAGTGGGGGCGGCTGAGCCCTCACCCGTGGTGGGGGAGGGTTTGACTCTAACTACAGGGAAACAGTGCCTGAGCTGAACTGTGGGGTACCGGCAAGCGTTGAAGAACAGGCACT